TGTGTGTGTGTGTGTGTGTGTGTGTGTGTGTGTGTGTGTGTGTGTGTGTGTGTGTGTGTGTGTGCACGTGGAAGCGCGTGAGATTGTCTCAATACAATGACATGCCCGCTTTTGTGTACGTGCAAGAATGCGTCGCGACGGAAGACAAAAATAACATTATTAGTCATTCGCGAAACCCGGTCGCACGTGTACGTCGATGCATTTGGGATGCTCTTGGGTACGCATTGTATGTAGGTTCATTTGTGTGTGTGTGTATGTGTGTGTGTCTGTGTGTGTGAGTGTGTGTGTGTATGTGTGTGTATTTGTGTGTGTGTTCTTGTCTGCCTGTTTAGCTCTCTGTATATGTACGAATGTATGTTTATGTGTGTGTATGTATTTCTTTCTTTCTATCTATACATTTATTTATATATTTACCTATATGCTTATATATTCTGTTTGTGTATGTGTGTGTATGTGTGTACACGAGCAAGTTATATACACCTTTTGTTTGTACATGTGACCAGCGCTGATAATGCAAGTGGTCGTGTGTGCATTCATATTAAAGCAAATACGAATGCTAGACAGGTTAATGAAACTTATTTTGTGAAGAATATTTTTTTTTACCGCAGTAACGTACCTACAAGAGAGAGAGAGAGAGAGAGAGAGAGAGAGAGAGAGAGAGAGAGAGAGAGAGAGAGAGAGAGAGAGAGAGAGAGAGAGAGAGAGAGAGAGAGAGAGAGAGAGAGAGAGAGAGAGAGAGAGAGAGAGAGAGAGGGGGAGAAACCAAGAGACCGAGAAGAAGAGAGAAAAATAATAAAAAGAAAGATAGAAAAAGGAAGACAGAGAGAAAAAGAGACAAAAAAACGAAAAGAAGACCCCCCCCCAAAAAAAAAAAACGAGAAACCAATCACAGAAATAAAAAATAACAAAAGAAACCGACAGACAAGACAAAACAATACAGACAAACAGACAGAGAGAAAGAGAGAGAGAGACCTAGCTCCAGGGACGTCATACATTATTCATCAAAACCATACACTTTATCCCTCTCGCCGGCCGGAAGCGAACGCCCTACCCACTTACCTAGTTTTCTCTCCCGCCATCGTCTTCATTTTCACTCTGTCTGCTCGCCGTCGTCTGCTCGCCGCCGCTCAGTCCCGCCCTACGTTGGTTGGCGAGCGCTTGGCGGTTTTGTCCTGGGGATGAAGTGGCTCGCGAGTCGCCCTTGTTTTCCTATCTCTTTTCCGAGTCGTTGTTGTTGATGTTGTTGTTGTTGTTATTATTATAATTATTTGTTATTAATATTGTAGTCTTTATTATTATTATTATTATTATTATTATTATTATTATTATTATTATTATTATTATTATTATTATTATTATCATTATTATTATTATCATGATTTTATCATTATTATTATTATTATCATTATCATCATCATTATCATTACTGTTATTGTTATTATTATTATCATTATTATTATTATTATTATTATTATTATTATTATTATTATTATTATTATTATTATTATTATTATCATCATTATCATTATTATTATTATCATGACTTTCTTCTTCTTAGTATTATTATTATCATTATCATCACCATCATTATCATTACTGTTATTAATTATTATCATTATTAATATTATTATTATTATTATTATTATTATTATTATTATTATTATTATTATTATTATTATTATTATTATTATTATCATGATTTCTTACTATTATTGTTATTATCGTTATCATCATTATCATTACTGTTATTCTTATTATTATTATTATTATCATTATCATTATTATTATCATTATTATTATTATTATTATTATTATTATTATTATTATTATTATTATTATTATTATTATTATTATTAGTAGTAGTAGTAGTAGTATTACCATTATTATTATTATTATTATTATTATTATCATTATTATTATTATTATTATTATTATTATCATTATTATTATTGTTGTTGTTATCGTTATTGCCATTATTATCATTATAATTATCATCATCATTAATACTATTATTATCACTATTGTTGTTATCGTTATTGCCATTATTATCATTATAATTATCATCATCATTAATACTATTATTATCACTATTGTTGTTACCATAACTATTACCGCCATTATTATTGTTATCATTAGTTTTTTTATGTTTTTGCCATTACCATCATCATTTCTTTCATTTTCTTCTTTTTTTATCGTTAATCTGGTGTCTCTGCACATGTTGCGCGGCTGTCATAAACCTTGTCATAATCCGTGACAAAGATCTACTATTCTGTCATTATGGGTGTGTCATGGTCTGAAAACTTGTCACTGTCTCCATGTCAGGATCTTTTGTGTCCTTCGCTTTATGACAGTCATGTTTTATCTGTTTGTTTTTATATCTTATTCTTCTTTTATTATTATTATTATTTTTTTTTGGTCTTGAATATTTACAAAAATAGTCGCTCTTTTTTAATGTCTATAGAAATAGTATTTTTTTCTCTCTTTTCAAAATATATACATA